AGAATCAGACTAAATTAGCTACTACTATAAGCTTGTATAAGCTTGAGCCGGAGCTACTATTGGAATAGGATTCTTTAATTAGTTCTGTAGCCATAAATCGGTTCCGATGATGACAAATCCTCTTTAGTATTCAGATCTGCTACTGCATAGCATTCATTCTCTTTATGATTGCCAACTTCTTCTTGATTTGATTGAATTCCTTCCTAGGATTTGATTAGGAAAGTTCCGCTTCATTTCCTTTTTATGTTCAACTATGTTACACTTCAACTCATTTATAGTGAAACTCATATGAGTTGAACGTAGTGAAGTTTCACTATTCGTCTAACTACGTTCAACTCATTCGTTGAACTATGTTACCTATGTACTTCACATAGTGAAACTAAGGAACAGCAGATTGAACTGAAAAACGAACCATGTCGAAAACGAATTCCAACTGACGATGTTGAAACGAATGTTGAAAACGTTGAACGAACAACTCATTCGACTAAAACGACTAAAAGGAGAGGTACGAAGTCGCTAGAGAATTCGTTGAACTATGTTCAACTCATTCGACTAAAACGACTAAAAGGAGAGGTACGACCATTCGTTGAACTATGTTCAACAACGAAATGAGTTGAACTATGTTCAACGAATCTCTGTCAACGAATAGTGAAACGAATTGAGTCGCTAGAGAATTCGTTGAACTATGTTCAACTCATTCGAAGAGGTACGACCAACGGGAGTCGCTCGAAGAGGTACGACCAACGGGAGTCGCTCGAAGAGGCGCATAAGAGAATCAGGTCACCGTAGTTCATTTCTAAGATAAGATCAGATAATACGGCATCTCGCGTACCTGCCGTTCTATTTCTGTTTTCTGAAAGTATGGGTAACGGTATGGCCGAACGTTGACGGGTTTTGTGATGGCGGCAAGATGGATGTGATGATCCCACATCCGAGCCGGCGGCAGGGCCTGTGGCAGCTGAAAAACGGTGGCATGAGACTCTAATATTGTCCGAACGGGTGGTGGAACATCTGTGGGAAAGACCACCTCGGCATTCTCCGACGGAGGCGGTGATTGAGGCACTGGCAGTAACTCAAAGAACTCCAGGGGCGTGTGAGCAGCTAAAGAACATAAATGGATGAAAGAAATAGGCTTAGGGGCTGCCGTATCACCGCACAAAGTGACTAGGGACCCGTTCCAACAAAATTCCATGGTCATGTTAGCGTAGTCGTGAGAGACCTTGCCTAAGGTCTGGAGCCATTGAACGCCAAGCACGACGTCAGGGCCATGTATTTCGAGTAAGTACAAATCAACCTCGAAGAGAACACCTTGTAGCAATAGCGGAGTTTGAGGGCAAGAATACGCACAACGCAGGGAGTCCCCGTTTCCCACATAAACACGAAAGGGGGGAACCGGGTGGAGAATCAACGACAAGCGTTCCGCCACCATCGGGTGGATAAAATTATGGGTGCTGCCCCCATCCAATAAGACCTGTACGTCCTGGGTATTGACTGACCCAACCAATTTCAAGGCGCGAGGACTCGGGCTGCCGGCTAAGGAATTAAGACTAGACACATCGGCCAAGATCACGGTGTCTTCGTCCAGCGGTGATACAGCCTCCGTGACTTCGCCGGAGTCATCCTCCTCATCCGGCCCCATGTAGGTGAGGAAACGGCCTTTGCAATGATGAACGGGAACCCACTTCTCCTCGCAATACCAACACAACCCCTTTTTACTTCGTTCATTTTTTTGGGCTATCGTAACACGCACAATAGGCAGAGGTGGAGCGGCGGATGGCGCAGGAGCTCTGGCACCAGATGCGCCCGGCGTGGAAGAGGATGGTGACGAATGAACCGTCCCTGTGCCAGATGGAGCGGAGAACGATGGGCGAGCAGGCCATGGCCGGCGGAGGGCATTGGATTCGTGATGACACGCGGACAGTTCGCGAGCCAATCCAAAAGCCTCCTGTAAGGTACGGGGGTTGCGCAAATTAACCTCGCGCTGCACTGGTGAACGTAGCCCGGAAACGTACATAGCAACAAGGGTTGGTTCGGGAACGCCGGAAATTTTATTAAGAATTGCCTCAAAAGCTGTTTGGTAAGCCAAGATGGTAGATGTCTGTTGCAACTTGGACAAGGAACCAATATAATTTTCATAATATTCTGGATCAAATCGTTGACGAACGGCCAACAGGAATGCCTCCCAACTAGTACCACAGTTATTGGTTTGGTAGTAGCGAAACCAATCGGACGCCGGGTAATCAATTAGCATGGAGACTAACGGCAAGCGTTCATACTCCGGTGTCTGGAAGTAATCAAAGTAGTTATGAATCCGAAAAATCCATCCCGCTGGATCGTCGCCGTTGAAATGGGGAGCCTCAACACGTAGCCTTGGAATGGCGTCGTTGTGGGAGCCGGTACCGGGTGTGCGCAGGGGAGGAGGGCGCCAGCCCGTGCGTGGGGGGTGATTCCGTCGTTGCTCTCGTTGGAAAGACGACGCCGTCAAGGCAGAAACCTGCTGTTTCGTTGCCTGCAATTCGGCACTCAGATTGTTGACTGCTTTCATAAGATCCTCCATGGTAAGGGGCGGCGTCGACGAAGAATCTGGTTTGGGTGTCGTCATGAGAACGGCAATGAAAGCATGAGTTGATAGGGAAGTTGTGCGATGCAAGGCCGGGAAGAACTCCTAGGCGCAACGTTGGGTTGGCCAGAGAAGAGTCCTTACGGCAAAAGAAGGAGAAAGAGAGAAAACTATGATTAAACTAGATTTGTGTATTGATTGAATTCCAAAGTAAAGGGGGTTCCACTATTTATAATTGATAGAGAAACCCTAATCCTAGTCATGTCGGTTCAACAAAGGCGTCAAGGGAAAGAACCGAAAAGAAAACCCTTGAAGGGACTTATAACTCGTCCACCTAAAAAAACTCTAAAGTACAAATATAAAATAGCTGTAAAAATTAAACATAATCATCGAAGCGTTGCGGTCTCCGTATGTTCCTCTTCGGTCGCCTGACTTCTTGGGCGTCTTCCCGATCTTCACTTGTGGATCCGTCTGCATGGGCTGCATGCGTTGGGCCTTCGTCTCCCGAGACCGTATTCCGTAACTCCTCCTGCCGTGTTGTGTCCGTATCAGACACTTGCACAATTGGATAAGTAACTCATATCATCAAGTCAGATTCAATTAGATAAAATAGGGGCTGCATAAATCATAAATTAGGCAAAAATAGGGTGCAATCTTGATTCTTGCATTTTGCAATTCGGACACTTAGGCAAAAAAAATAGCAAAAGCCAGTGATATGTTGGAAGTCTTCAAATAGAAAGATAATACTTGGGGGTTGAGATGGAGTTGTAGAAAGGTAGAGTCTGGGGGAACTTGACCGTTGGGTCTTTTCTTCGATCGGGGAGCTGGAGACGGAACCAGACGAAGGCATCTTCAATCGGAGACGGACGACTTCAATCGGGGAGAGGGACGCACAACGGGCTGATTTCTGAGACGAAGGATAGGAAGCTGGACCGATTTCTAAGACGGAAGTAACTGGCGAGGGAGGAGCATAAGAAATTAATTGATGATGAAGGCAAAACGAAGAAAGGTATCTAGAAGGGAGACAGATTAAGCACAAAAGCAAGTTGGAGAGTCTATTCGAATGTGTGGTGGCAGGGAGTAAGCCAAGTCATCAAAAATCATCTGTGTCAGCTGCTTTGTCATGGTACACGTGTCAACATCATATGCAAAAAACCCTACTTTGTGTATATATATATATATAGTATTTTAACCCGTGCGTCGCGCGGGGTCAAATAAAATTTTTGTCGATTGTGAAATTTTTTCGATGTAATATTTTTTCTAGAATAAAGAAAATATGATTCTCACATGATTTTCAATATCATAAACAAAAATGCCAAAGTAGAATAAATAATATTTGAGGAATTAAATGTGTACTCAACAAAATTTGTTTTAATACAAATTTTTCTAAAAGATTTCATGGTATATGATATTTTTGGTATAGTTGCAAGAGTTTTCATTGTCATCTAGAACTAATATTTTTTACATTGTCTTTGTTTTCGTTCATGAAATAGCAACTTAAAGTTGACTATGAGTTTATACTTGGTTAAAAATAATCCAATAAATGACAATGTTTGACCTTGATTTTTGTTGATAGTCATAGCAAAACATAATACTTTTAGGAAATGTCATCTTCTCTAGAACTTCACGGATAGTCTTAGATAAGATGATACCAAATTTATTTGGGGTATGTAAAATTTTTCCATGACTCGATTTCCCGAAACCACAATAATACTAATAACATTTTTCACATCTCTTCAACGACTATATTGTACCATTACACAATCTAAATGTTTGGCCAATGCTACTTAATAACATTTAATTTCATTCAAAAACTCAACTGTTATCCAATCAGCATCTTTATCTAAATTTGTCTCGCATGAAAAATCAAAACTCAAGTACACCATTTCATCTTTGAGAATGAGAGATAGGTTAAATTAATTAACCATTTCTACAACTTCGAGCGTGGGTGCCCGTTGTGCCCAATCTTTAAAGAAAAAACTCTTCATATTCTCCAATATGTTCAGATAAGTAAAGCTACTATACTCTTGAGGAGGTAACCTGTTCCTAGAATCAAGATTTCAGAAACAAAATTTGACGTCACTTATTCTCTCAATCACTTATCTAAGCTTTTCATCTCCAGCTTTGATTATCCAATCAGAAAAATGTGCAAGAGGACATAGATGAATGCAATCTCATAATCTTCGTAAACGTCAATACATACGATCACGATTTTGAAGAATTGATGGTAACAGCAACAATTTCCTCTCTCGAAACTCCTGGTACAATTGGAAGAAAATATTACCTTTGAGTACAATTGGTTTTCCTGCGAATGGTTCATTTCTAGAGTTTTTATTGGACAACCTCATTACATCTCTCATTCTGCAATCCAATGCCTCAAAGGCAAATCTATTAATCATGCACGTTTAATCCCATAAAAATAATGCTCAAAATGTTCTATTAAATAAAAATGCCCATAAAAATCTCATTCCTTTTATATATTTATTTCTCTTTTTTCAAAATTGGAAAATCTCTCCAATTAGTATTAGTTCAAAGTAAAAAACGAATATTCACATGTAATTTCCTTTAGTCTTACCAATCTATCTATTCTTAGAAAAAGTTTATTTTTTTACTATTTTTTTAATATGAGTCCATGTTTTCAATTTCAAAATGTATTATTTAATATAAAAATTTTCCAACAATGAATTAAGATATAAAATTTTTGAAACACGATTATGTTGAGGAATTTGTATGTAACAAATATGAAATTTAATTTCGATAGAATAAGTTTTTTTGTTAACTAAGTCTGTAAATATTACTTGATGACATGTCGTGCTGACATGTGTAAAAAAATTGTCCAATAAGCATATATGCCACATGTCACAATTCTAGAAGCTCAACTCTCAAATATTATATATAAAGATTTATTTCTCTTTTTTCAAAATTGGAAAATCTCTCCAATTAGTATTAGTTCAAAGTAAAAAATGAATATTCACATGTAATTTCCTTTAGTCTTACCAATCTATCTATTCTTAGAAAAAGTTTATTTTTTTACTATTTTTTTAATATGACTCCATGTTTTCGATTTCAAAATGTATTATTTCGCATAAAAACTTTCCAACAATGAATTAAGATATACTTCCTTCGTCCCCCTAAGATGTTCTTATTTTGACTTTTGGTGGTTTTTAAGGAGAGTTGAAAAAAGGTGAAAGTTTACCATAATACCCTTAATGAAAAATGGGTGGAGTGTATTAAATGAGGTGGGTGAGGTGTAATAAATAAAGTAAGTGGGGGTAGTTGTGGTATTTTAATGGTTAAAAAAATGAAATGAGAAGATCTGTTGTGGACAATGAAAAAGGGCTATTGAGAAGATCTATGAGGGACGGAGCGAGTAAATTTTTTGAAACACGATTATGTTGAGGAATTTGTATGTAACAAATACGAAATTTAATTTCGATAGAATAAGTTTTTTTGTTAACTAATTCTGTAAATATTATTTGTATGTAACAAATACAAAATTTAATTTCGATAGAATAAGTTTTTTTGTTAACTAATTCTTAAATATTACTTGATGACATGTCGTGCTGACATGTCTAAAAAAATTGTCCAATAAGCATATATGCCACATGTCACAATTCTAGAAGCTCAACTCTCAAATATTATATATAAAGATATATATATATATATATATATATATATATATATATATATGATATGATATGATTTATTGTAACAAGAGTTTGTAGCATTGCAATGAAGAACAAAATCATCTAACAAAGATAATTTGACAAAATCATACGAGTTACGAGTATATCAATCAAAATGTTAAAAAAAGAGGGATTTCTCCTGATATCTTAGAAACACTGACTCAAGGAATTACAAATAATAAGAGAAAAGCAGAAGAGATTTTATGAAAGATCAAAGCTTACATGAAAGATAGAAGAAAGTATATATATATATATATATATATATATATATATATATATATATATATATATAATGTAATATTTATATTAAATAATAATTTGACAATATTTAACAAATTATATATTATTAAAATTATATATTATGTAATATTTAAATTAAATAATAATTTGACAATATTTGACAATATTTAAAATTCTAATACTACATCTCTTTTATTTAAAATGATTTGAAATTAATTTGAACAAAATATTGAAAATAAAAAACGGTTATTTAAATTGTGACGTAAAAACTAATTTAAAAAATGATTTAGAGTGAAAATAAAAATGGTGACCACGACCATCCAAAAAACAATGTGAAAATATATGCATCAACGAAAAGTATCAGCCTATATGGGAATCAAATTTGTTTAACAATCAAGGAGTAAAATACATGAGAGATAGTTATGGTAAATGGAGACGAAGGTCGAGAAAGAGATTGGTAGTGGCGGAAGGTTATGGAATATAGGTTTTATATCAAAAGATATTTGGGCGGGAAAATTGTTATTTGGGCCGGGAGATAGTTATGGATAGACGGATGGGCCGATTTTGTGGACTATTACTCTGTTTGTCCTGAATTTTTTTTCTGGTTTTGACTTTTCGATCAACTATTTTCAATATTTTACTTATGATTAAATAAAAAAATATATTTTATATTAATTAGAGAAAAAAATATTTTGACAATATTTGATAAGTTTACTCTACTAAACTATTTTTGTATCTATACAAACTACTCCCTCCGTCTCCCAGTTTTTGTCCACTTTTGACTTTTGGAATTGTTCATCTAAGCACTTTGACTCATCAAATTCTCTCAATGTGTAAGCCTAAATATAGTCATGTGTGATTTGTTTGATTTGTTTGATTTGTCTTAACATATAGATTATTAATATATACTTTCTATAATTTTTTAATATACAAATTACAAGATAAAATGGATTAAAGAAGTGCATTGGATAGTGTGTAAAAATGAAAGTGGACAAATACTCTAGGACGGAGGGAGTATAAAATTTCAATTTATTTATTTTGAGGTCAAAGTTTACAAAATTTGATGGATGAATTATATGAACATGATTTAGTCTCTCAAACTATAATTAAATTGCACGTAAACTATATATACTCCCAGTCAACATAATTTAATTGCAACGATGAGCTACAATGTATTTGAGAATTAACTATAATTAACAATGTATTTGAAAATTATAGTTAAATTTAGAATTTCACAATAAAAATTAACATTCTAAAAATATGTACTCTCTCCGTCTTAAAACTTTCTTCCCAGAGCACTATTCCAACTTCACGGGAATTTATATTTATTTGTGTTTTTTCATGGCCTATATGATAAAATAAAATATTCTTGTCACCACTTGTTTTGTTGAACTTTTGATGTAGTTTTTAAATATGTATGTTTTATTTTTTATTTCTAAACCAATATTTAAATAAAATAGATTGAAAAATTTTGGGATTTTTTTTCGTTTTGCGCAACGGGAAGAAAGATATAGGACGGAGGGAGTACAATGTATTCTATATGTAATGTATCCGACATGCTCTTTTGATGATTTTTTAGAATGTTATCTATTTGTATGCCTATTATGATTATGACGAATGTTGATTTTTTTTATAAAATTCCAAATTTAAAAAGATAAATATTAGCAATGTATCATTCTCTACGCTCACCAGAAATGGATAACGTATTTCTTTTTATTGTTTACTTTTTAAGTAAAACACCATATTCTCTTCGTCCCATTTTAAATTGTTTTTTTTCATTTTTTGTCCGTCCCAAAATAAATTGTCCATTTCTTATAATAAAAAACTTTTAAAGGTAAAATTACTAAGCTACCCCTAAAATAAGTCCATCTTTCCTCCTTATTTTTTCATTCATCGCTACTCCCATAAAAAAAGTAAGACATTTTTGAAAAATCAACATAATTTTTTCCCTTTCTTAAATATGTTCCAAAATCAAAACGGGCAATATAAAATGAGACGAAGGGAGTATCTTCCATGTTTGTATGCCTATAATGATTATAATGAATGTTAGTTTTTTGTTATGAAATCCTAAATTTAGAACAATAACTATTAACAATGTATCATTCTTCACAAATGTAGTTTATAAAGAAGTGTTTTCAAAAACTTTTAACACTTCATATCGACCTTGGTTATAGAATTCCCTTTTTAGGGAATTACTCCCTCCGTCCTATAATGATCTTCCCAGAGCACTATTCCAACTTCATGGGAATTTATATTTATTTGTGTTTTTTCATGGCCTATATGATAAAATAAAATATTCTTGTCACTACTTGTTTTGTTGAACTTTTGATGTAGTTTTTAAATATGTATGTTTTATTTTTTATTTCTATACCAATATTTAAATAAAATAGATTGAAAAAATTTGAGATTTTTCTTCGTTTTACGAACCGAGAAGATCATTATAAGACGGAGGGAGTATATTAAATTATATAATCTTTCAGTTTTTTTAACATTTTCCATGATTTCAAACATTAACTTTAACTAATGTAAATTAACTGTGCGTGCATAGGAAGCACGGGTACCGGTCTAGTAGAGGATAAAAACAGAAACGAAACAGAGAGGAGGCGGAAACAGAACAGAGAGAGCCGACCTAGGGTTTCGACCCTAGGTCCGGCGCGGCGTCCGGAGACGACAACTCCGACGAAGGGAACATCAATTGTACACCATGAATTCCGGCGATGCAGGACTTTGTTAATGGAAGCTGGCCTCTAGCTTCTGCTGTGCGTACAAAGGAAAAAACTCAGGGGAGTTTTTCTTGTCTTTTGATTCCATTATCTTGGATTTTCTAATTTATCAAGCTTTCAAGCCATAAATTTGACTCTCCATATTAAATATTTTATTTTCAATTCCAATTTTTTGTTGAATGTTTAAGTTATATTATAAGTGTTGATTTGTTTGTGGGTTGATGTTGAATTGTTCAAATTTGATTTATTGATTTATTATTGTCTCTGGAATTATAAAACCTTCTTAGGCCAAATTATTTGACACAAAAGATTAAATATTATATTTGATTGTTCTTGTTGAATTAGTTTGACTTTGAAGAGATTTTAGCTCTATGCTACTGTTAAATCTAAACTCGAAAAGGTGTTCAGAGAACTATTTTTCACCAGATTTTACTTAGATTGGACCAAATTAAGAACGCGCGCCTAATCCAGTTTAAATTGATATTCTTTTAAAGTTCAAAGTGCTTTAAATTGTCGAACTTTTCTAGAAACCAAGTGTCACTTGATTAGTACTTGCTGTCTCGCTAAGTGGTTTTTGCTAATCAAGGTTCTCGAACTGGTTTTGTTAAATAACCGTAGTGTTACTGCAAGATTGTTACGGTGATGTTTTCCACAAATCTTAATGCGCTATTCTTAGTAGTAACTAGTAACTTAAGGGTTGGTCTATGGGTTGCTAAGGGTAGTAGGGTTTAGAGTTAGGGTTGGTCTTAACATGAGCTAATATGAATGGGAAAATAGGGAAGAACCGTTCTTTGGCCTAACCCCGAGTTTAATTAGCAGTTTAGTTTCAGAATTAGGACATGGCAAATTAAGGAATCATATTTGTTTAGTTTATTTTCTATTAAAAACTATAACTATTTTCAAAATGGTTTAAGCTAATTATTATTGTCTACGTTTTATAAAGTTTATTGTGTGATTGTTTTTGTGTGTTTGTTTTCTTCCTGAGTGTTCTTCTGAGTTTGAGTTGCTGTTGCGGTTCCATCTCGTATCTCTTATCTGTTATCCTTATCTTTATTTTATTTGCACTTTTATCTTTTTAGAATAATTGTTCCAACCCCCATATCTGTTAGTTTAGTTTTTAGATTTTAGATTTTAGATAGTTTTTATTCAATAAAAGTGACAAGTGAACTGATTTTCATCGCCTAAAAAGTATCTCTTCTCGTGGGATCGACCCTTACTTGCCCTATCTATATGTTTTGATGAATATTGAATCATAAAAAGGGTTAAGAGTTAAGGAAAACAATAAATTAATTTGTAGGTGCTACGACACGCCTATCAATTAATGGAAGGCTTCGTGGTTTTTTCCCCTGATTAAGAGAATGCTCCTGGATGTATCAAGCTTCAATTTTCCTGTGAATTGAAGGACTACATTTGGATTATTTAAATTTTGCAGATTACCAAATTGATATAAATGCAGCGGCGCTTGTGTATTTCGATTTTGGGGGAATGCACATTTTGAAATTCAAATGTTGAATATTTTTGGGGGAATGCATATTTTCATTTTGCATGTTATGCATGTTTTGAACTTTTCTAGCTTTATTTCCTAGAATAGTAGATTCTGCTCTTCCTAACTGTATTAGTTTTTAGAAGTTCCAAACAATTTCATATGTTAGGATTTAGGAATTATATCTGGCCTATGTCTTGCATAGCTTTCACATAATTCTGTTATTCTGTGTTATGTTGAATTATTGATGATCATTTCCTTTTAGGTTTGCCAATAATGATGTCTTTTAATCCCGATGATTTAATTCTTGGAATTCGTAGGTCAGGGTCTATTGTAAAGATTCAAACGTGAAGAGTCAGGTATGTTTTTTATGTTTAATGAAACATACTCTTAATTCCATTCTGTTCTCTATTTTTAAAAAGATTGGTGTTTTTCTTAGCAGTATATATCTTTTTGAACTATGAATAGATATTTTTATGATGAACTAATGTACATGTGTTCTCTATTTTTAAAAAGATTGGTCCGGTGTTTGCACGGCTTGCTGCAATAGTTCACGCAAACTTTTCTGGTCCGAACGTATCACAAATTCCCGTCCTAGCAAGTACTGTCTCCATTTTGCAACAGCTTCGACAATCGCCAATAATTTCTTGTGATATGTTGAAGCAACTCTCTCTCGGTCCCAGTTTCTTACTGAAGTAAGCGACACGCTGCTCTTCTTGTAACAGAACGGCTCCAATACCTGTAGCACACGCATCAGTCTCGACAAGAAACATCAATTCAAAGTTGGGCAATCTCAGTACCGGTGCCTTTGCCATTAATTCTTTCAGCTGTTCAAAGGCTTCCGTCGCCTGGGCTGTCCACTTAAAGCTATCTTTTTTCAAGAGTTCAGTGAGAGGGGCGCCTACCAGGGAGTAATTTCGCACAAAGCGGTGATAGTACCCCGTGAGGCCATGGAACCCTCGAAGCTGTTTGAGAGTTTTGGGCTGCGGCCAGGCCTGCATGGCCTCAATCTTGGTCCGGTCCACCAACAGTTTACCATCTCCGATCAAATGTCCCAGGTACCCAATGGTTGGAACCCCAAATTGGCACTTGCTCTTCTTCACAGAAAATTGATTAATGTTCAACAGATTCAACACAACCTCCAAGTGATCACAATGTTGAAGTATATCCCGGCTATGCACAAGTATATCGTCAAAAAATACATTAACAAATTTGCATAAAGAATCCGAGAATAGCCCGTTCATGCAACTTTGAAATGTGGACGAAGCATTGGTTAGTCCAAATTGCATCATGAGAAATTGTAATGCCCTTCATGAGTTCTGAACGCGGTCTTGTGGACATGCTTGTTGTTTATTCGAATCTGGCGATGCCCTTATCGGAGATCCAGTTTTATAAACACTCGCGCTGCCCCCAACTCGTCGAAGAGTTCATCCGCCGTTGGAATGGGAAAATGGTCCGGTACCGTCACAGCGTTTAATGCTCGATAATCTACACAAAACCTATAGCTCCCATCTTTTTTCTTAACTAGTAACACCGGCGACGAGAAGGGACTTCGGCTTGGTTGGATTATCCCTTGCTCCAGCATCTCGCAAACCAGCCTTTCAATCTCCATTTTTTTGGAAATACGGATATCGGTAAGGTCTAACGTTCACCGGCTCCACCCCCGGTTGTAAGAAAATGCGATGATCTCCCCATCTGTGAGGTGGTAACGTCCTTGGCTCATCAAAAACTCCTCCGTAGCTGCTTAACACATTTCTGATCAGTGAGGGCACTTCCGGGCTTCTCTCTTCAGGCCCACTTGCTTCACACGACACAGTTCATAGTTCTAAACAGTCACCAATGGTATCGGCGGCCTCCATGCATTGTAGTTGATGTAAGGACATTGGCTGAACGGGCCTTTCTTCTCTGCAGAACGTGATGGGCTGATCTTGCCACAGAAACTCCATTGTCATCTTGCTATAATCGTGGGTGATTCGGCATAAAGATCTCAGCCACTGCACACCCAAGATCACTTCGTGGCCGTGAACTGCTAATTTGAACAAATCCACACTGAAGTTGTTATTCTAGACCAGCAACGGCAACTGCGGGCATCAGGCTTGGCACATCAAGGAATTTCTGTTTCCCACATATACCCTGAAGGCTTCAGTATCCACCAACGCCAATTGTAACCGTTCTGCCGTCTTTGGATGGATGAAGTTATGGGTACTTCCCCCATCCACCAGGACATCAACAATTCGACCCTGGGGTCATGGATCCCGCCAAACTTTGAAGAACAGAGACGTCTCCTTCGAATATGGCTTCGTGTTCCTCCCCGATCTCAGTTCCCCCCTTGTTTATCACGAGCAAATAATAATGATCGTTACAACGGTGTCTGTGGGACCATTTCTCGGGGCAAAAATAGCATTCTCCGCGTGGATCCTTCTCTACCTTCTCGGCCGGCAAAATTCGCCGAACTGGTCTTGCTAGAATACCTCTGGGAGTGGCCAAGATGGGTTCCTTCTTTGGAGGTATATACGGGGTGATAATTTTCGTTTGGGATGGACTGGGGTTGTTGGTGGGCTTGGTATAGGTCGGAGCCCGATTCTTGCGAGTGGGGGCCTGGAGTTCTTCATACTTAGCCGCTGTTTCTCGGGCCAGAGCAAAAGCCCCATTCAAAGTAGAGGGCCGGTTCACTCCAAGCTCCGTGCGGACGGGGTCCTTCAAACCTGAGATGAAAACTGAGATTGTGGTTGCCTCATAGTAATCAAGGCGTCGCTTAGGCGTCTGGGCGAGGTATTGTGGACGCCCAATTGGTCGCCTAGCCTTTTCTTCCCTGGGCGACTGAGGCTTCAGTTTACCGTCTGTTTGGCAGCTATTTGGCGTCGATTTGAGATCTGAATCGCAAGGAAGATCGGAAATTCATAGGAATTGTCCAGATCTGCAATTTAGATCGTGAGGTCGTAGTATCTATTGGATCGCGATCGACGGAGATCCCTTAGGTTTTGTCCAGCGTTCGTGAATTCTCCGGATCTACGCGACCCTTCGGTTTTGACGGAAACCCCCGAGGCTTTGACTAGTGATAGACTAGGCGAAGTAAAGTGTTTCTTTTATTTATTTTTTATTTTTTTGTGAGTGAAACATACGGAATTTTTTTGACTAGCGACTGACAGGCTTTGACTGTGGATTTTTTTAAGGAAATCTACTTTATATTTTTTTAAAGTAATGTGTTATCTATTCTTGTTTTCTACAAAGTATATACTAAGTAATGTATTTCATACCTATAAAATTAATTATTTCATCGTATATGCTTTTACATCAGTACCAATAAAACTATTAAGGTCGCCTTAGCCCACTTGCCCAGCGGACGCCTAGGCGGGCGCCTAATCGCCTAGGCGGGCGCCTAATCGCCTAGGCGATTGGAAGGTACTCTAGCGCCCAGCCTCGCCTAGCCGCCGTAACAACTATGGGTTGCCTGCGTAACTCCCTCGACTTTGTTCATCAATCTCTTGAATTCCGTCTGATAGGCCATAATGGTAGTTGTTTACTGCAGCTTAGCTAGTAAACCAAAGTAATCTTCGTACATCTTAGGGTCAAAACGAAACTTGAATTGTTCTTCAAAATCCGCCCGAGTTTTAATCAAGTCGTTTCGCTTCATCATCCGAAACCATTCCACCGCGGCGCCGTCGAGCATCAGTCCGGTCACCTTCAAGCACCCTTCCTCCGGAATGGCATTGAACTCAAAGAATTCTGTGGCTTTGAACAACCACGTGTGCGGATCAGAACCATCCGTAACGGGTGGATCCATCTTGAACCTCGGATATCTGGCATGTTTGCTCCTTCGCCATATGTCCCTGATTTTTTGCGACGCTGGTACGAAGTTTCCTCAAAGTTAGAATGATTTCCTTCAACTAGATCTACTCTGTTGCTCAAGGATTCGATCTTCTTGTGGACGGATACGATTTGCTGGTGAATAGCTCCTTTTTGAATCTCAGAAAACTCTTGAAACAGCTCAGAGAGTCGCTTCTCCATGGCTGCCGCTAGGGCTGCTGCCGAATTGGGATCAGGTGGTGTTGTCGTCATCTCTCAATGGAAGCACCACAACGATAGAAAGTTAACTCTAGTATCACTTCGAGCTGATACAAACTCCAGCAAGGGGATTGGAAATCAGAATAATATGTCAACAAGAACTGGTTGACAGCAGTGTTTAGAAGATTGGAAGGGACCTGTTTGGGTTTTCAACTTCCTCTTTGTTTTCCAAGCAAACAAAGAACAAATCTAAATAGGCAGCAGTATGGGTGATACCCATGCAGGGGTCTACTGACAGTATCCACATAACCACTACATCTAAAAAGGTGGAAACTAACTCCTCTCACCCATGAGAACAGGTCAAAGAAATAACTGGAACAAAACAATAATGCTGGAACAAACAGTAAAACAGTAATTAAAAGCACTTGGAATAATCTCTCAAGTAAACAGTAAATGGTAATTACTTCGTCCCAAATTAAGTTGCATGTTTAGTTGTTCACTATTCACAAGGTCAAACTTCATTCATTTTCTTTTATTATTTTCGTTACTCATTTGATAAAATAATCATGTCACCCCTGGTTTCGTAGAGCTTTTGATGTAGTTTTTTAATATGTAAAGTTTGTTTTTTTAAATCCGCTCCAGTTATCTAATAAACTGCATTGAAAATGATTTCGGTCAAATATCGTAAACTGAAATAGACAATTTAAATTGGGACGGAGGGAGTACAAAATAAGTAGTTATAAGAATATTTTATTTTATCGAATAATGAATAATAAAACATGAATAAACAAACATTATTGAGAGCTCTTGAAAATTAAACAGGAAGTGTCTTTTTAAACGGAGGGAGTGCATAAATGTAGTTGTGCACTTATGCACATAATTATCATGATATGTTTATTGAAAAGGCATAATCAGTTCCGGGTTTTAGTGGTTTTGGGTGTAATTAGTTTCGGGTATAACTGGGTTCAGATCTTATAGGTTTCGGGTCTTATCCATTTTGGGTATATTCGGTTTTGGATATTATTGGTTTAGGGTGTAATCAGTTCGTATCTAATTGGTTTTGGATCTAAAATGGGTATGGATATATTAAGTTCGGTTTTGGTTTGGTTCGGATCGTTTCAAATATTTGATTTTAGATCAGATCTTCACTTTTCGGACCATTTTTGTTTGGGTTTGGGATCATTTGGTTTGGGTAATCACTTTTGGTTTTGTTTTGCCAGGTGCCCAGGTCTACACACAATAAATAGATATCTTGAGAGGCCCATTTGAGAACATCAATGATGATAGGTCACCGTCCTGTCCTCTGTGTGTGGAGAACTACAACCAAGAGCTGGCAAAACTAGATTAAGGGCCAAGAACTTTTAATAACCAAGAGCAGACAAAATATTAATGATTACTCCGTACATTCAATAACAGATTAAGGGCCAAGAACTTTTGAAGCTAAAGACTCGAGCCTTACAGAAAAAAATGGAGTGAAAAATGTTTGTAACTTCAGCCAAATTTCCACCATTATAATGTCAGTTCTGAGAAGAGTACAGTCTTTCCTATTTCCTGCTTTGGGTATGCCAGGCTTAGAAAACCTGAACTTCTGCACCAACCTTTGCAACCTAAACTGCAAACATTAAAAAGCCTCGGGGAGAATTTTCAGCCTAAACTGCAAATTACTAAAGTTCTTGGGAAGACTTTGCAGAACGCATCAAAGGGTGATATATGGTTGTTATTTACAGGGTGGTAGGATTGGCAAGGGGAAAATGGCATCAATTCTTGCCCAACAAGTGAGGCTAGTCCAATATTGATATCTCTTGGGTCTATTCGTGATACTGAAACGGATTACCGTGATAAAACAGCAATTGACCGCATTGCAGAAGCGGTTAGAAAAAATCTGTTCTCTGTCGTAATGCTCGAGGATGTCGATAGGGCTAATATGGTTGTGCGGGGGAATATAAAGCGCACAATGGAAAGAGGCAGGCTTGCTGTTTCTCATTGCCGCAAAATTAGTCTTGGCAACATTGTATTCATTCTTGCAGGAAACTGGTCTTCAAGAAATCCAGACAATTTAAGAAATGAGAACTTGATGGATAAGAAGAAGCTCTCGTCTCTCTGGAGTGGCAATTGGCAGTTGATGCTAACAGTAGGTGAGAAGAGCACGAAGCGCATGTTTGTTGATGAAGAAGCTAGACAGGCGAACAAAACTGAGAAGAGTACTAAGTTCAGGGCTCACCTCTGACCTCAACAAAGCACCAGCGGATGCTGATGACAGACACCATTGTATGACTTCAGCTTGAAGCAGATACACATATCAGCTTATATCTTTTAAGCGCAGATGTAAATATAGGAAACTTCTTGGGAGGTTAGGGAAAAAGAAATGTAATACTCCGTAGGAAACATGTATGGTGTTGTAGAAAGTGGATGTTGATGCAAGATTGTCTTCCTAATCGCATTGCGGTGGATGTATGGAAAGATGAGATTAGATGAAATTTCGAACGAGGTTGTGCAGAGGTGTGAGATGCTCACGGTGGCGGGTGAGGACAAAGGTAGGGGCGGGTGACCTAGGAAAAATTAGAAAGTAATTAGACATGGCCTAAGACGGTTGACCGTTACCGAGGATATGACCTTAAATAGATACTTTTGAATAAGTAGGGTTAGGATAGTTGGGAAGGTGTCTTGGATTGGGTGGTATTTTTTTTTTCTTTTCACTCTTTGCCGTGTGCTCTCTACTTGCTACGGAGTATGTTTTTCTCTCATTAATATTGGTTGTCTTGGCTTTTTGTGCTTGTGTTAGCTAGGTATCTTTTTCTATTAGTATGAGTTTGTGCTATCTGTGTTACATTACTAGTGTAGGGGCCTCTTTGTAGTGGCTTGGGAGGACACAAAATAACAGGGTACGGGGTAGCACTGGAATTTTTTGACAACATAAAAGGAAAAAAAGATACCCCGGAGTAATAAAAATTATTTTTAAAAAGAGTAATTATTCAAATAGTTCCTAAATACTTCGTATTCTCACCTCAAATTAAATTGTTTGTTTACATTTGCATTGTCAAATTTTAAGTCACAACTAATTTTTTTAGATTTTTTATGTAATTTTTGAATATATGATTTTTATTTTTTTAATTTTACATCATTTTTCATATAAAATTATTTCAAATAACTTCAAACAATCTTAAACCAAAATAGATAATTTAAATTGAGATTGAGAGAGTAAAAAGTACAATATTGCGAGGTGTATAAAACTTAATTTTCTTTTTCGGACTTCTTAAAGTGAAGAAAACCAGGGAGTACCTAACAATAAAGATTGAAGGATTAAACAATTAGATACTCTGTATGCAATTATCTTTTTTTTTAGGGAACCCCATGCAATTATCATTGAATAATTAAAACAACACAACTAAATTCATCAATTTAAAAACAATAAATTAGACTTTACTGTATTAATTGTTTAAGATTTGAGGTATTAATGTATAATTTAAAAGTTTGAATAAAAAACCAGAGTAAAAAATTTAAATTAAAAGTTTAAATATAATTAAACTTTTAAAGTTTTAAACAAACATGTACAAAATAGTGGTAGAGACAACGAAGAGCCGAGAAGCATTTGTCTTTTTTATTTAGTTTTTAAATATATAAATTTTATATTTCAATTCAACTAAATTTTCATACAAATTTGATTGAAAATAAATTTAGTAAAATAGCATAAATAGTACTCCGTAACAGACAACTTAAAATATGATCGGAAGAGTTTTTTAAAATGATTATCAAATACTCTCTAAATCAATGGATTGTATTGGGACATTTGGGCCTTTTGAGACCGGGGAGGAACAAAGATTCAAAGTTCGTCCAATCATAAGACCGTAAGAGCATTAACAATGGGGAGTAAATTCGCCTCGCTCCTACCACATCAATACTCGACTAGTTTTTCGTCTCGCTACAAAATCCTACAATGGTATCGCCTTAAAACCCTGCCTTTCCGTTTCTTTTACAATATTCTCTATTTTTATTTCAAAATTTATATAAATTTAATTTAAATATTTAAAAAAAAATTTGAATAAAAAGATTAACATTAATTAAATATTAATTATTGAAGATTAAAAAAATAAAACTAAATTAAATAAGTCGAAATTGAATACATTAAAAAAAGGTTTAAATTTAAAAAATGAATTTTAAAAAAAATAGGAAGAAGAAGGCAATAGGAAATTTAAAAAATGAATTTTAAAATTTAAAATGGGATGGAGGGAGTAAAAAAAAATCTTTCGTTGAATACTATACCTGCAAACAAGGAACAATAAATAATGTAAGATGATGATGGAGTACGTACGTCCCGTAATGGAAAGGGGTATGTAGGAGAGAGTTAGTAGTTGTACGAGTAACTGATCACTAAAGTCAATCGGAAAACTCGATCAGCTCACGGATACAAGTTGAGAAATCTTTAATTAATTAATTATTACTCTATCCGATCCGACGTTACATGCATATTTGAAATAAAAATGCTCCATCCATATATATATTGACATATATGCATCGATCGAACACAAAAAAAACATCGGCTCGATTAAATCGGATCGATCTTTAGTACTAAAAATCAGTACATATATTTGAATCAATGGAGGGGATAATAACAAGTAGTGGATTGAGAGGGAGAGGCGTACTTAAAGGTATCCGAACAGGAAAAGGGCGCCGTGCGTTGGAGGAATGCAAAGAAGAAGAAGAGCCATTGAGTCCATCGGCTCGGATGTTTCACGAACCCAACTTCAACGTGCATGTCATTGCAGTTATGGGCTCCTTCTCCGCATTCAACCCTCAAGTTATCAAGGACAATTTGGTCCATACTCTTCTTAAGCACCCGCGCTTCACCACTGTCCCGGTCAATATCTCTACTACATACTCTTTTTTTCTCCCATAATTAAGTAACTACACCTTAATCCCATTACAATAAGGAAACTTTACGTAAATAACACTAAAATAGCATCATATGTGTTTTTTCGTAATGTAGCACTTTTAGTCATTATTCATTAGTCATTATTTAAGTAAATGTCTCATCACTGGACGTTATAGACATTATTAAATGTTATTTAGAGAATAAAACATTTTAAATACTATTTATAGAAATGACTTAAGTTTTAGTGCTATTTAGTGCAAATATTTCATTACAATACTTCTTCCGTCCCATAATCTAAAAAAGTTTTATGCTATCTAGTTTTGATAACCCAAATTTTTTAGCATTTATTCATTTAGATTATATTCAATTTATGGTCAAAGCATGTAACTGTTTGACCAATTTATGGTCAAAATGAGAACTTTTTTGTGGGCCGGAGGAAGTATTTTTTTCATTTGATTTTTTACGGTTTATAATGCAACATTTTGACCATTAAAATTTCTATTATATTCATACAATCATACATGATAAAATATGATATTTCAAAATTACATGTTAAACTGAATATATTGGTATTTTTAATTTATCACAATTCAATATACTTTTTTCATAATTTGTGGTCAAAATTAAAAAAAGTTGGTCACCAAAATCAAAACAAGAAGAAAGAATGGGACGGAACAAGTAAAAACTCCGAAAAGTTCAAATGACTACTTCCTAAAATATGACATTTTACAATAATGCTCTCAAATTTGAAAAATACTAAAATTGCTTCAAGATAGTCAACGGTTTTACATGGCCACCAGAGGCGGATCCAGGATTTCAAGGTCATGGGGTCCCTTACGGAGTTACGGGCTACGGCCTTACCTGACTACGTTCCATTCTCATGTCAAACTAATTCATAAGTCTTAACATATAACAATAAATTAAAACTAATATTTTAAGAGTACCATAATTAATACATATAAATAAAGTCATACGAAAACAACATCGTTTACAATTGTACTCGTCTAGTTTTCATACTTTGGAAGTGATTTATAATTACATCATCACTAATGGTGGAAAAGACATCTCTCTCAACATAAGTTACTAAGCAGTCATTCAACCATTGATCACAAATTTTATTCCGCAACTCATTTTTCACGAACTTCATTCCCGAAAAAGACCGTTCAACACTTGATGTTGCCACACGAAGTATCAATGCCAACTTTATGAGAGCATATACAAAACCGTACGTAAGAGACTTTTTAGTGGAAACCATTTTCACCGAGAGCTCAACAATACTCTTTAAATCATTGAATCTATGGTCAGGGCGAACATCCATGATATAATTCTCAAGCTGATTCTCCAAAGTCAAACGATCAACTCCTAAAAATTCATTCGGGTAGAATTCAGTCATTCTAAGTAAAGCTTTCTTGTCAAATGCTTCAAATGAGGAAGATGGATTCAAACAAGCTAGACAGCTCAGCAACTCCGTACTCGCCACATCAAATCGACTATCAAGCTCTTCAACAAACCTATCAATAATCTCAAACAAACAATCTATTTTATAATGATGTATGTTTGAAATAATAGGAGCCCTGCGTGCAGAAGTGTTCACTTTAACATATAAATCATTCCTATCAGGCACCTTAAGAGAACATCTCTCACAAAACACTAAAACCTTTTGGAAAATAAGATTCCATCCATCGTCTGATCGCATGCTCTGTAAGCGTGATTTTGCAATCTCAACTAGTTTCAAAGCATTCAACAAATCTTGTTCACGTCTTTGCAATGCTATTGACAAATCCCAAGTGACACCCAAAACCTCAACCATTACAGGAAGCATGAAAGAAAATTCAAAAGTTTGCAACTCTGTTAATAATGACTTAGCTTCTCCACTTCTATCATGAATTTGCAAATGCTCAAGTACTTCAATAACAGATGGAAACAAATTTTGCAAATTCAAAAGTGTTCTGTAATGTGAACCCCAATGGGTGTCACCCGGTCTTACCAAAGTTAATTGCTGATTTAAGCCCCGACCTGTTTTCAATAATCCTTTTGGTAAAGCACTTGCTAAATTAGCCGCTTGCTTCTCTCGGAGGATATCTTGTCGTTTATTAGATGAAGCAATTTCATTAATAACACGACCAACATGGAGAAGTAACCAATTAACTTCAACAAGTCCTTTCAAAGATGCAACAAGAGACAACTGAAGTTGATGAGCAAGACAATGAACATAGTAAGCATATGGATTTTCATTTTGAATTAAAGTTTTCAACCCACCAAGCCTTCCACGCATATTACTTGCTCCATCATAGCCCTGTCCCCTTATATTTGATATACATAATCCATATTGGGATAATGTACTCTCAAGTGCTTTTTTGAGAGACAATGCAGTAGTTTCTTCGACATGAACAATGCTTAAAAAGTGTTATACAACAGAACCCGTGTCATCAACAAAACGCAAAACAATAGCCATTTGCTCTTTACCAGCAATATCACCAGATTCATCAACTAATATAGCAAAAAAGCCATCTCCAAGTTTTCTAACAATTTCTTGAACGGTTTCAAATGCACATGCATAACACAAATCTTTTTGAATTATCGGTGAAATCATCTGATTATTTAGTGGAGCATTTTTTATTGATTTATCCAATTCAGAGTCACGAATC